CAGCACGCCCCACCCCCATGGGCAGCTCGCCTCCCCCCCCCCCCGGCTGCAGGACACATGCGCCGCTCCCGTCACCCGAGCGGCTAGTTAAGCCGCTGGCCAAGGGGGCACAGTCTCAAAGTCTGGTAAGCTGGGCTTTGGGAAGGAGGCTTGAGGCTCTCTGACAGAGTCCTCGAGTCCTCCCACCTCCTTCCCCAAGCCTGGTTAGCCCTTTTCCAGCTTTGGGAACTATACAAATAAATGGTAGAAATATAACCCTTTGTGATTGGGGGATGGGGTCTGTTAATTTTAGCTATATTCCACATATTTGCTTACAGACATAAGCAGCATATCTGCCAGTTTATGAAGTTTCCTCCTGACCTTGGCAAGAAATGGGAATAAAAGTGGGCAAAAACCTTTCCTTCTTATTCACAAAAGTTTAAGAAAGTAGAACACCTAGAGACATCTACGAAAAAAATCTAGCTTGGAAACTTCCATCAGCTGCTTGTAGGTCCCTAGCTATTATCACTGACTTTAATGCTTATTTCAAAAGTTAAAAGCATCTCTCTCTTCTATCTTCCTTTTTTTAATGGGAAAAAACGTCACCTAGAGAGAAAGTTTTCTGCTGGTCAGTGGAGGGGGAATAAATTGTCTGCAATCTCAGCAATTTGTAGAGACATGCAGTAGCCATTGATGGCACAGCCTCAGGCACATACATGCAGCAGCAGTGGAACAGAGCACAGTCATCAAAATGTGCAGAATGCAGCCAAGATGCTCTGCTCCCACATCTGCCCTGGGTATAGCAGGCTTCCTCAAACTCGGCCTTCTAGATGTTTCGAGACTACAGTTCCCATCATCTCTGACCACTAGTCCTGCTAGCTGGGGATCATGGGAGTTGTACGCCAAAAATATCTGTAGGGCTGAGTTTGAGGAAGCCTGGGCTATAGTATGACAGAATGTGGCTGCCAACAGGAAACAAACCAGTGACAAACACTACAGGAACTGAGAATTAGGGGAAACTGGTTATTATGTAATTACATTTTTCAATAATTTCCCATGAATTATATCAAATAATAGCATCAACAATTTAAAAATCTATTTAAATGCGACTGCTAGGCTAATACTGATAAAGACTGGGATAAAAATCTCCACTTAAAAAGTTTGTTGGAAGGTGTTGAAAAGGTGCCAAAAAGGCAATAAACATGGCACCAGCCTGATATTTTATGAGAGGGGCTTCCAAACAGTAGGTGCTGCCTCTCCTATATCACATGGGCTAGGTGTCCTCAGTTATATGCCTGAGGTCCTCTATGGCAGAGTGCAGGGGTCACTTGGGTAGCAGACTGAAGTGACTGGATGCCAAAGCTGTTTTCTTTTCATTCATTATGACTCCGTAGCCCCTGAACCTAGGGGGCACTGTCCCAACTGCCCTATCTAAAGCATTTCAACTTTACAGATGGAACTATCCACACTTTCCTTCCCCAGGCACTGTTCTGGGGGTTCTCCTGACATCCCACCCTGCCACAAGCCAATTTCAGGGGGCATGTGGGATGGGGAGGGTGGAGGACCCCACAGCACAAGTGGAAATCCTTGCATAGGCTTCCACTGACAGGGCTAGCTGGGTGACTCCTGCCCTGCATAGTCTACTTCTGGTACTCATAAAACTTACCCCTGTGTAGCACTGGAAGGTAGAAGGGCAAGTTATTCCACAGAGTTCTACTTGCTGTTCCTGATTCAGCTAATCATGACGTTAATTACTAAATGACAAAAAGAGGCAAGGAGGCACTTTTCTCCTTGGGACAACAAACACAAATGACAGGAGGACTACATCGCAAGTGATGTGCAGCCACACAGGCAGCTGTGGGGTAGGACAGAAAGGTTTCACTCCATTTGTCAGCACTCCTGGCCAAATACTTACCTTGCAACTGTCTTTCCCAGGAAGGATCTCAGTAAACAAACAAAAGTCCCCCCCCCCAAAAAAAAATGCTGTTACTTTTTTAGTGTTCTGTATTGCTGATGATGCAGAGGAGCAGCAAATAGCCCTTTTAGCAAGGCAGAAGGTGAGGCTACCCAGCAGTTTGTGTGGAATATGAGACTCCTGTAACCATTTGACACGCAGTCCTGGTTTTTTTTCATTGTAAATCTGAGCATCTAATTTTGAGGGCAGGGTCGAGCTGTCTTATTTGAAGCATATAAAGACTTAACTGCCATAGATAATGTCAACTCAAATTATTATTTCCTTTCCAACATAGATTATAGGATGAGGGAACATAAATGGGAATTAAAAAATAAATTCAGCACATATATCAGAAAGCACCTTTTCATGTAGAGAATAATAAATGCTCGGAATAGCCTACAGGCAAAGTTGTTGAGGCAAAAAGTATCAGTGTCATTCGAGAAACAATTAGTTACCATCCTCAGGGAAATAGACTACTAAAAAGGATATGTCTTGATGGACCAAATGACCTTTATTCATTCTCCAAAATACATCTCATGTTCTTATAATTCTATTGAAGACTATTTCAGCATTTTGGCCTCAAGCAATGTCAGGTTTTGCTTGAATTATTCTGCTCACAGGTTCACTGCCGAGGCTATTCCTTTGCTGTACTCTTGCAAATAATGCAAACAATGGCCAGACTTTCCTCATAACACCACAGCAACACCTTCACTGTTTATTCAAAGCACATACTGAGCTGCGCCATTGTGTTACATTCTTCCTGTGACAAGCAACTTGATCCTTTGCATATTTGCTTGGAAGCAAGTTTCCTTGTGAATTCAGGGGGAATTACTCGCAAATAAGAGTCAAATCAGATGTGGTGCAGGAGGCTGCTGGTTATTAGGAACTCTCATTGTAGAATATATGAAGCTGCCCTTACCTAGTTCAGTATTGTCTGGGCACCCACCATCTCCCCACCATCAAAGTGAGGCTAAGACCTTTCTGTGCAGCAGATTCCCTATTGAGACAGTACTGTACAACAACATAATGAATATATAATACATATAATGGGTATCTTCATGGGCTCTGCTCAAAGACCAGCTCCACCAGGCTCCATCAGCAGGCTATTACTTGAATTCTATAGTTAAGAACTAGTGCCTGCATATGATTTCCCCCTCCCAGACCATTTTCCATTTTAGAGAGCCAGTGTGGTGTAGTGGTTAAGAGCAGTAAACTCGTAATCTGGTGAACCGGGTTCACGTCTCCGCTCCTCCACATGCAGCTGCTGGGTGACCTTGGGCTAGTCACACTTCTTTGAAGTCTCTCAGCCCCACCCACCTCACAGAGTGTTTGTTGTGGGGGAGGAAGGGAAAGCAGAATGTTAGCTGCTTTGAGACTCTTTTGGGTAGTAATAAAGTGGGATATTAAATCCAAACTCTTCAAACTCTTCTTTCCTTTTAGATTGCAATTCTGAGGACAGGAACTGTCTTCATATTGATATTTTTCAGCTGATCTTGGATCCTTTCATTCGGTGAAGTGCAAGGTGGAAGAATGCTATAAAGAAACAAACAAAGAGGCCAGCAGTGGAGTCTTTCCCAGTCCTTCTGGAAATGAACCATATTCAACTACCTCAAGGGCTGTCACATGGAAGACGGAGCAAGCTTGTTTTCTCCTGCTCCAGAGGGTAGGACCCAAACCAGTGACTTCAAATTACAAGAAAGGAGATTCTGACTAAACATCAGGAAGAACCTTCTGACTGTAAGAGCTCTTCAACAGTGGAAAAAGACTTCTTTGGAAGATGGTGCACTCTCGTTCCTTGGAGGTCCTTAAGTAGAAGCTGGATGGATATCTGTCTCAGATGGTTTAGCTGAGATTCCTGCACCACAGGGGATTGGACTAGATGAGTGTTGGGGTAACTTTCCAATGCTACTATTCTGTGATTATAAACTTAGGATCTTCTGCATAACTCTTAGGAATAAAACCTATCAGTGGGGATGGAAAGATCTGTCAATTTCAGTTCTCTCTGTTCCCAAATTTCCCAATCTAAAACTTACACACAGAGACATTAAAAATCCTAATGAAAATCCTCAGCATTTTAGTGAAAATTTATTAATAAGCAGCCTGGTGGGTGCTCTTTAGAAAGAGGTGTATTTAACCCATTCATCCATTCTCCTTTTTTATTCAAAATGTCCTCCAGGCTGCTATTAGCTGTATGTAATGGACAACTACTAATGGGCTATAAACACCCTGCATTCTACAGCATATACCTGACTTTATTCTGGGATTCCAGTCATTAAGATATATTCATTTTTGTAAAAACAAAAACAAAAAACCCCTTCTCATTATTTTTAAATAAACTATTTATTTGGGCAACAGTGACTGGATTAACACAGATAAGTGTTATTTAGGCATTCTGTTTTCTTTGTTCATACTAAGCTGGTGTGTAGGATTTTCTGGATTCTATCAACATGGAAATGGTTGAAGTGATTGTTTGAAGTGATTGAATTGTAGGGGGAGATTAATTATTCAAGGATAATTAATATGAGAAACAAATTGATGTGGTGGTGCAGAGATAAGGATCAGAACAAGTGACATCAGCAGAAAAGGAAAATGAGTAGGAAGTCTTAAAAAGAAGTAGAGAGGTTCTCAGTATCAGAAGGTACATTATTAAAAAACAAACAAACCTGAGTCCTGTGCCTGGTGGTAGCAAAGATTGTCTACACAGGCCTGAAAGAAGGCTGCCCTCAGCCATGCATGCATACAAAACTATGCTATAAATCCTGGATTCCCATTTCTCACTAGCTTTATGCATAGTGCTAAACGGGCTTTTTTCTCAGCCGGAACTCACTGGAACTTAGTTCTGCCACATCTCAAGTGGGTGCCATTGCCATTCTAACAGAACGAGGGAGGTGTTCATGGGGAGTTCCAGTACCTCTTTCTCTAGAAAATAAATAGCACTGATATGCTAAATATTGTTTCATTCACAGCCAACACAACAACATTTGCTTCACAGTTTCCATATTCTCTTTGTGTCATGGTAGAGTTGTCACCTTTTATTGACAAGTATCCTGCACCATGGGAGGATGACGTCCACTAGGTTACACATCAGCTACAGAAGCAACTCAGCGGTTAGGGCAGAGCCACTATGTCAGCTTCCCACCAGGTGGGTCACCGTTACTTAATGGGAGTAGGCCAGACAAGTTAGTGGGGAGATTGGTGGGGTGCAAATGCACGGGAAAAGCAAATCCAATACAACTGCCATTTTGTTCACACCCGCCAAGCTCTCTGCTGCCTCTTCTCTCCCTGTCTGCCTCCTGGTAAACAGCAGCAACTCACCTGCCAGTAAGGTAGCACAATAGCTCTGTTCCACCTGGTGAACTGCTTTTGGTCAGCTGTTCAGTTTCTTAACTAAAAACACAGCAGTCGGCCAGGAGAAAAAGCAGACAAAGTTTAAACCAAAGGCAAAATTCTGCATTATTTATTTATTGTTGGCATCCATCTGTCAACACTATGATAGCGACATGAACACAGTTTGGAGCCAATCACCTGGTGACAATCATTATTTATTAAATTTCTATGCTGCCCTTCATTGGTAGATTTCAGGATGGTTCACAACATAAAAATACAAGATAAAAACAAAAAATACATGATAAAAGAAAGGACCAAAAAAAATGCCCCACAGAAACCAATAACCCCACTTCCCCTACCCCCTCACACATGGGTTTGTTAGGTTTCTTTTTGTTTAAAACTCTTCTTTTCTTCCATGTTCACATTAAATGGTAGGTTTTCCGCAGCAAGCTTGATGTTGTATCTTTTGCTGCTGTCATTATCTCAGCATTGAGCTTTGTAAATCCCACATCATGCTTCTTTACCATTATTCTTTGTTAGTGTTTTAATCATCTTCCTTTTGTTTCTCTCTTGTTTCTCCAACAAGACTATGAACTCCTGAAATGGCCTGCGATTGTGGGCAACCCCAGACTTTTGTAAGTTGTCTGCTCTGTTGTTGGCAGGATAACTCAAACTGTGACCACAGGCACAAGACTTCATATTTGCCTTCCCTCAAGTCCCTCTTGTAATTAACTTCCTGCTGCTTCTCTCCAATAACTGGAGGACCAAAACACTTTGAGTTCCACTCAAGTATAAATCATAGGAATGTAGCATTGCACCCTACTGGGCTGGGTCTTGCCTGGAGTTCACCAGACTTGTTCTGTACTATATGATTTCTCCTTCAATCCAGGAAAAAAAAAACCCTAAGCAAACAACAGGAAATTACCCTCAAACAATCAGAGAAACTATGCAAGTTCTTGTCCCACAAGAACTCTTATATAATATAATATTGCACCTTCACATGCTCATATTTACTAGGAACTAAATTCCATTAATATGAGTTGATCTCACATTCAAGAGCTGTTAGGATCATAGTGTTAGCTAATTATTATTAATAATTCGGCAATCATTATTCTTTACTGTGAGCTATGTTTAGATAATGAAATGAAACTATACAGGTATTAATGTACAGATACGAACACTTCCCAGTACAATCAGGAACCCTTCAAAAGCTGAGTTCCTGATGATCCAGATAACATACAATTGTCCATACATATGCTGAAATGAATGTGCATATACCAGGGCTCGAATTTGCCATCATGACACTATAATGTATACATTGCTATATATTATTAAAACTGCAAATGGCTTTGGGAAGCTTAGTACTGCTATATGTTTGAAAAGGATAAAGAGCCTGATTCAAAGTTCCCATTTTACTATCCTTCTTAATAGGTTTAGTCAACCTACTCAATATTTCAAGGGAAAGATCAATGCTATCTAGAGATTTATTCACTTGTCCCCCTACCCCAAGAATAATAGCTGGGACAAGCTCATTGGCCTCTTTCTCTCCTGCACATCCCCATCCCCATCCCTGCAACCACCCATATATTGGAGCCAAAATTCATTGCAGTAAAGAGCCTCTTCTAGTGAACCAGACTCACATTTAATAGTCCTCATCTGGTGCTGATGCTGTAGTGATAGCAACAGGAACAGAGAAGAGGCAGCGGAGGCAGCAGCAACTTGTTCATCCCCACTCTCCTTCTCATGCTATGCTGTTCCTCTTGGGGAAGGGGAGGATTAGTGGACAGGGCTTAATCCATAGCTGGCAACGTTTTCCTTTTTTTAAGGGAAATTCCCTTATTCCAAATAGGATTCCTCGCAAGAAAAGGGAAAAGTTGACAGCTATGGCTTAATCTGATCCTTTGGGGTTTTAAGTGGGTGTTGGTTCTTGTGGTTAATTGGCATGCTTAATCTAGTCATGGGACAAGGAAGACTATTTTGTGTGGATGAACAACTTTTTAGTGTGTGTCACTGTTTTGAATTGATTTATTTGTTATTTAATGTGCATTTAATGTAATTAATGTAATGTACATTTAATGTAATTCACAATGCAAAGCATTTTGAGACTCTTTCTCAAGTGAGAACAAAATAATTAAATGAATTGTTATTATTGTCAATCAAATAATTATAATAATATGTAAATTTGACACAGTGCTTGGGACTCTCAGTCAGTACTGAGTATTGTGCATAGGTAGCCACAAATACTGGATATAGAGTTCAATAACAAGGAAGTCAGGCATACAGCTTTCAGGGCATTTGTTTATTACCTTTCCAGCCCTAATGGGACCCCTATGCTACTGACCATTATAAAAACATAAACCAGCAAACCAGCATAAAGTATAAAAACAAAAGTTCAAGTAATAAGCAGAAGAACTAATAAATCAGCGAATAAATACCAAGATCCAGATATTATCACATTCCCAAAGAGTGCAGTGATATAATGTATATCTAAACTGTAGTCAAAATGACAAGCTCAGATGGCTGTCTCAGATTCTGTAGCCTTGGTATGACTGTCAAGAAGGCACCATTCCATGAGCGAACTAGATGCACCTCAAATGGTGGTGAACATGGAGCATAGCACAGCATATTGATCCCCTATGCTAGATTTATTTTCTGAGCAGTACAAATGCACACCGTCCGTTTTTAGATAAAAAACCAGGACACACTCCTGAACAAGTCACATGAGCTGCCTCACGATATCATCCTCCAATTCCCGCCCCACCCCCGAGTGTGACATGAGAGTGTGCAAGATCACGGCACCCAAAATGGCCACCATGATCTCACACAAACAGATGAGATGTCCCATTTTTTCTGGAACACTTAGTGGGTAGAACTGGTATGCTGGAGAACTAATGACAAGCAAGAGTATGTCCCAGATCACCTGGTGAAGGTTGTGTTACTGTGATGTATTTCTTTTACTGCTTGATTTAATTCACCTTCTGGTCTATTGTAGCATCATATCAAGGAAGAAGATCATTATCTTGGAGAGAACAGGGTGGCTGCCAGCAACTGAACCTCTCATGCCCCATAATACCAAGCAATCCTAGCCCTGAACTTTTAAGTGGTTGAATTTGCTCTCTTCTCCAAAGCGTTAAGTCTCCCACAGCTTGTTACACTGTGTGGGAATCTTCAGCCTGCACCTGGACTAAGGAGCTATGCTGATTGCCTGCCAAGTATTAGTTTGTCTTCCATTCTGGTGGGAAACTGTTGTGTTACCCAGACACCAGCTGTGGCTTATGAAATGATCTTTTGCTTTTGTGAAAAAATGATGTGTTCCCCAAATATCAGCTGTGGTGGATTCTAATATAAGTCACAAGCACATCTCAACGAACTGAGCTTCTACGCAGGCCAATAGCTGGCAGATGTTGAGCACCTGACAGGACTTTGTGTCCATTGCCATTCAGTAGGGTTCCTGCTCACAAAAGGAAAGGGAATAAATACCAGTTTTTGCTTTGCTTTGCTTTGCCTTGTTCTTTAGTGTGTCATACTCCTGCTAATAAAATCTGTTTATTAAAGAGCAAATCTACGTGCTTTGTTGCCTTGTCTGAATCCCCCAAAGAACCAATGCCCTTCTGGCAATATATGTGCCCATGGCAACATATCACCCTCCACAACTGGTGATGTACATAGTCTTGTCATAATTATAATCACTATGTAGGGATGAAAGAGCCTGTGCACAGAGGACCTGAATCAGGACATAATTTATCAGAATACCAAATACTGACCATATACAGCTGAAGCTTTAGATTCTCACCCTGTGTTTATATTACTGAATAGTCAGCAACAAAGTATTTTTCCCATCAGACTTGTATTTTAATTGTGGGCAGTGAAGCAGACCTTACCATTTTGATTATAAGGATAGCTTATAACTTGGGAAAATGTAACTTCCAAGGTTTTTTATTTTTATTAAAAATTGTTTCTAAAAATGCATATGTGCAATTAAACAATATCAATAAAAATCAGCCCAGAAGACCAAGCCTCACATTCAAAAATAAGGATTTTCCCAGGAGAAACCAAGATAACAATCCAATTAAGCTGTTGCTGTATGCAAATGAGCTCTCACACTTGAAACTTTCATAATACAGAAGGCATGGAAAAAGCTAAATAGCACATTTCTTGTTATATTTCAAACAAGTCAAGTGATAAGTTGTCAAAGAGGTAGGTAGGTTTCAGGTGAGTAGGAGCAGAAGGGAATTGGTTTATGAAATATATTTAATGATGGATGACTTCTGAGCACTAGGGGAAAAAATCATATCATTGCTTCCCAATTAAAAATTCATTAGGACTTGCAAGGCCTGGATAACATTTGGTAAATAGAAGCAGCATGTGAAAAATTTGAATGAGAGTAAGGGCTTAATAGAATAATCAGGGCTTGAACTAGTGCACCGCAAAACAACAATACATAAATATGTATGCACACAAGGCTGAATCCAGCTTGTCCTACTTTTTCTACTCCCATTGCCTTTAATTTTATTGGTATCAGTTGGACTATAATGAAGCAAGCAAGGTTTGCCCTAGCAACTTTGGAGCTAATTAATCCACTCTTATGTAGACTGATATGATGCTGCAGTTTAAAGCAGCTCATGCTTTCAGAGGGCACGATCCCTTGCACACACAGAACTCAGTGATGGCTCTGTCACTGTCTTGCTGCCTTACATCAACTCAGCATTGACATCTGCTTCTCATATTAAAATTCAAACATATGACATTGCATTATGCTGAGGCAGGGCACAGGCCCATTTAACTTAGTACCGTATATTCCAACAGATTGTGTCTTGATAAGGGATCTGATAGAGGAATTTCTCGGGGCTAGGTTTTGCTGCTACTTGCATAAAGGACTCTTGTATGGAGTTTTGACCATTCTCCTGTAATTTTTTTAAAAAATAAATTGTGGCTAATGCAGCTTGCTGCATATCACCCCATGCTCACCTTTCAGCCTGAGCGGCCTCATTCCTCATTCCTGGAGATAGCAGTGTGGCGTTGCACCTTGACTTCCTCGTCAATGCCCTGGCTTTAAAAGAAGAGCCTGCAGGATCTCAAGTGCCTATCTAAGTCCAGCATCCTGTTCTCACAGTGGCCACCACAGCACTCTACCAACCTGCATTTTCCAGCAACTGAAATTCAGAAGTACCCTTTGGAGAGGAATAATTGGAGGGTCTGTTTGTTTCATCAGCTGTGGCTCCCTGTAGCCCGTGCAACTGGAAAGTGAATCCTCTTAAACATTATTCTGATTCACAATGTTGCAGGAAAACCTGCCTGTCTCACCAGTGAACAAAATAACTGCATGAGAAGTGGTGAAAAAGGAATCCAAGTTTATTTCTGCGCAGAAGTTTGGTCCAGTGAGATTGTTCCACAAAGACCGGACCTAGAGTATTAGGTCACACACGTCTTCATATACATTACATACATTCCAAATCCTTACATCCAATCAGAACGCTTAGTTCCCTTCATTCCTTTACAATCATGGACATTGCTATTTCCCTGTAATTGGTTTGGTTTTACCGCAGTGCCGAGCATGCTTACTGCTTCCTTGTGTGTGCTTCCTTGTGATTGATTAGAGTTTGCCACAATGCCGAGCATGCTCAGAACCATTGCATCTATGTGTCAAAACCTTATTTGGTGTGATTCCCTGTAATTCATTACATCAACTATAGCGGATAGTGTCTGCACATGTACTGTTATTAGAAGATGGTTCTGTACTATTTTGGGCTGCAAGAGTTTGTACTTAGCTCCCACCAAAGCCAGCATGCACAAATGCGTTCAGAGCTTCTATTGCCTACCAAACATATTCCAGGGTCATTCCCTACATTTCTATTCAATGGCCCACAATGTTCCAAAATTCCATTAAGGAATCACCTTAAAAGGTGCCTTTCTTTCATGGCTGTACAAGCATATCTCACATTTGTATGCAGTTCAAACAAGAGAGTCTCTTTATACATGACCGTCTCATTTAAATTATGCAAATTTCATATTCTATTCTGAACTTGCCTGTCAAAGTTATAAAAATAACTCCAAAGAGGAATGGAAGATACCTTGGCAGAATAAGTTATTCTTATCTTGTAATAATGTGCTGTGCGGCTGCATTACTATGTGTTTCTACATAATCACTATTGTTTGCAGTGGAGTTACTGTTTCATTACATGAAGCTATTGAGAAATAACATGCTGTATCTCACAGTGGAAAAAGCTGCATAACTTTAGATGCTGAGAACATACCAGCAGGGCTCTTGAAGAGTAACATGTAGTGTAATGTGCTCTAGTATTATTGAATGTTCCCTACTATTGCTAAAGCCCTGAGGCCTATTTTTATCACACAATGGCCTTCTACACCTACAGCATTTAATGAAGGGATCTCCTCTTTGAGGTGTCCCTCCTCCCCCCAAACGTAGAATTTGTCAAATATTGTATTCTAGCATGTAATGTGGGCTTTCTACACATTTCCCTTGTTTTCTAGAGTTGTATTTGTTGAATTCATTCTACATACACCATAATTTCATCCAGTGGATCCATTAGTCAGCTTGGAATGCTATGGACCCCACCTCCCCAATTCGAAAAGAACAAGACAAATTCCATTGTTTTGAAGATCCCTTATAGAGATATGAAACTAGGCTTCTCATTAATAATTCATCACCATCCTCCTCTTCCTCAATTTATGTACCACCTTTTCTCAAAAGATTCCAGGATGGTGTATATAATAACTGGGATGACTGTAACTCTGCGGTAAAGCACATGTCCTGCATACAGAAAGTCCAACATTCTATAGACCTCTGGAGAGCTGCTACTAGTCAGAGGATACCTAAACATGTTTGTTTATAATATTAAGGCTAAGAGTCTCCACCACTGCTTGAGACCTGAGTTTGTTTATAATGTTTTCAAACTACATAAGAGTCTCAAAACAGCCATGTCTCCTATGCATTTTACTACAATTTAAATTGTTTTAAATTGGCTTAAGAAAAAATATTTTGCTTTGAATGGGTCGCCAGCCCTCACTCCCCTTCTTTTTAAGCATATACCAAATAATAGCAATAAATCTTAAAACAGTATAGCTTGTGCATACTGAACAGCATAAGTAATTGTGGTCATCTAATGCATTTTATTCCTGATTTTTATGTGGGAATCATGTATGTATGCGTGTGTATTGATGCAGAGCGAGAGAGAACAGATAATGCACTTCATCTTCTGTGATACGCAGATATAAATGATAAAGGAGCATTAAAATAATTTTAATTACTTGAAATGCACAATGGGCTTTAAGACTTTAGATCCCCAGTTTCTAGAATATGATTCTGATAATGATAAAGGTGATAAAGAAACAAACTCTTCTGAAATAGTGCAGCAAATATGACAACTGGCTTGACAGAGCAGCCAAATATGATTTCAGTGAGTCAAAGGCAAGATTTTAGTTTCCTGAAGGAAGAAGAAGAAATCAAAACACTACCAGAGCAGATCAACTTGGGACTTCCAGAAAAGGTAGCCTATGTCTTCAATTCCAAATGAACAAATCAATATAATTTACTTCTTTGTAATGATCCAGTACAGTGTGTATCTGCCAGTACTACATGCTCATTGAGGTTCAATGATCCATGCAAAATTTGCAGGGACTGTAAAAAGGAGTTTGATGCTTGACATAAACATCTAAGCCGCTTTTTACTATCCCCCAAAGTTGTTGTTTTTTAAATGCTTTGGCAGAGATGTTGCTGGAGGAAAAGTGGGCTATTAAACATTTGTGTGCATGTGCTATTTTTCATCTATACATACCACAATTTTTTGGACCGGCTCCCAAATCTTTAGGATCAGAATGATATTTTGTGAATGGTAAAGCACATATTCAAACAAAGCAGGTATCCGGGCACATGATAAGTATTACAAACAAATGTGTACAAATACATTATTAGGAGTCAAAAGTACAGTGATTGCTGCATTTTCTGATTCACAAAATCTGGGCTGTTGGGGGGGGGCAAACCTTTTAGTAACACTTCTTTAGAATGCACTGAACTATCAAAAACCCACAAAGTGTCACCTGTGGCCCCATTTCCAGAAGATTTGAGTCAGGATATGTGACGTTCAGCTGTTTCAAAAATCTGTCCGTGATTTTAATTGCTGGAGTTCTCTTTCAAAATCCAGATCTAAACATGAAACAAAGTGAGGAAGATTTGCATGCCAGCTGGATAAAAATGACTGCATTGCAACTTTCTTCTCTTTAGGTGTCAACAATCTTCTTTTTAAAAATAAAATAAAAAATACATCTATTTGGAATTTCAAATGATGTTAAAGTTCAATATTATGACTGCTAATAATGATTTAATCATTTCTTTCCCATCACTAACCAAGCATAATTGTTGACAACTGGCACTTTGGCTGTGCTTCATTTTCAGCAGATGCCCTGAGGCAAGTTTAAAATGAAGAGCCTTCCTCTCCAGGTGGTCCAGCACCTGCAGTTCCTGGTGTTTGGTTGGTTATGAGTCCATTCACTGGCATCAGCTGAAGTGGCTGATTGTTTCTGCTAAACCCCTTTTGCAT